AGGGCAGAATAATCCAATAAAGTGTCAGTAAATTAATTTTAGAGCCAAAGTTGAAAACAAAGAAAGTCTTAAGATCATTAAGTAAATATGAAATCCAATTAATCAGTGAAAAAGGTTAGCTACAATCTTAATGGGGAGTGTGGAATTCAATTTACTCAAATCAGAAGGAAAAATTAGTTAATGGACTATCTTGAACCAAGGAGAGACCAACTCATGAGAGACATGGATTTGGGGTTTCTGTCATTACAGTGACTATTGAATGTAGTTGACATGTTGGTCAATGTTCCAGAAAAAGTCCTTCTCCTTTCTGAGACAAAGCCTTGATGGATTTGCAGCCATGGTCTGCTGAAATTTTTTCCTAACTTACTGGTGACACTATAATTTTTCAATAGTGGATTAGTGTTTTTAACCCAAAGAAACTGTGGAATAGAGTACAACGATTAATTAAATCAAATCTAAATAATTAACACTTTTGTATTTTGTTCAAATATAGTTTTTTAAATCATTGAGACAATCTATATATTTGGCATTTAAGTGTTTGCAAAAAATTTTTAAATGTAGTTTATGAAGGTATCTAACAGGTTAGTCTTCTGACATTAAAATAAATGGGCAATTGAGTAATTAAGTTTAAATTTCTGATGTTAAGTCAAAAGTATAAATGGTATTGGAATGCTTAATAGAACTTAAGCAACATCATATTTAGAAGTGTAATTTATTAGCTCTACTTGGAGTGGTTAAAGTATATGGAAAGCTTTTTGCTGTTAGAAAAATTTAAAGGGCTTTAAAAAGAAAAATAAATACATTATACTGATAAAAGCAATGCACAATATTTAAAGGAAGTTTATTAACTACATTTGTAACCAGAATTGATTGATTAAGGAAGATTGATCCATTCAACTTGAGTTGAAGAGACATAAATCAAAGGCTCCCTTGGAAATACTTGTTGAAATTACTAGACTTATAGTAAAATAATATTTCTAAATTTATTTATTCAATGTATTTACTGAGTGTTTGCTATGTGTTGGGCACTATAGTGCAGAGGAATATAGCAGTAAATAAAACAAGAACAAAATAATGTCTTTATGGGGTCTATATTCATTAAACTTAAGAGCTTTAGAAAAAAAAAAACTAATCTATTAAATCCTTGACTTTAATACATTGGATATTAATGTTAAAAGAAGTTAGCTACTCTCTTCAATGCACAAAATGTCCCTAAGGGACACCAAACAATCACATTGACGAGTGTAGCCCTTCATCCTCGTATCATCAATACCTAGCTCACGTACAATTCTCAAAATCTGGTGTAGTTTGAGTTTTCAGTCTTCTCTTATATTGTCTACATTTTTTCACATCACTCACAAGTAATCTGAGTTAAGCAAGATTGAGGAGCTAAGTGATGTTTCATGTAATTCAATTCAATTGTGCTTCTCCTAACATCTGAGTTAAGGAATAAACTTGCTGCTGGAAGGAGAGAAGAAAATAACTTCAGAGATGGAAGCATTTGTACAAAAAGGGGAAATCTCTAGATTGGGGACATAGTAAGATGCAGGGCTGGGAGTCTTCTGGGCAGTTGGGAGGTTAGAACTGGGTGAGTGGTATACAAAGAGTGATGGAAAAATGCAAAGAATTTTCAGCTATTTCAAAAACAGCTCTACCCAGGAAACTGAAAGACCTCTTTTTTTTGTTTTCCAAGGGATTATCCCTTCCCCAAATCCAGAAGTCAAATTGCAGTGTTAAAATGTTTCATTTGCGTCAAATAAAGCTTTTGCAAAATGATCTGGAAACACAGATGAACATTGTTTCCATAGGAAAATGTTTTTCGTATAAACAGGCCACTTACAACTAGTCTATTGAAACAGGACCTATTTGTCATTTGACTGTTACTTTGATAATCAAAACATGAAAACCACACCCAAGGTAATTTCAGAAAACTGTAGAGAATCTACAGAAATCCATCAATGAACTAAACTATAGCTTTCTCAAGGCAAGCCTGAAGCTAAGAACTCACTGGGTTTGGTAATCCATACCCAACTATCTCAGCAGCCACAGTTCATGTATTCCAAAACCACAGGCAATACTGGTGGCCACTGTGGCAACTTCTCCTCCACCAGCTGGCTGCCCCCAGTCATTGTAGCTAATTGCAAATTTCCCACACTGACATTTAGAGACCAATTAGAGAGCAGATAGATGATTTGTGGGCACAATTATATAGAGGTTAACTCCTTGGGCTCTAGGGTATGAAGAACTAGATTTAAATTATAACCGCTAATTCCCGGGTGAATAATCATGGCCGATCACTTAAACTCTGCACCTGTTTCTTCATCTGTAAAATAGGAATTATTGTAATGTCTACCTCATGGAATTTCTGAGGGGTTTAAATGAGATAATGCAGGTGCGATATTAGTTCTACCATGTAGTGAGTACTCAGAGTTACATTTGCACTTGGGTTCCTTGATTTACAGCAAGTGAGCAAACAGAAAAACATTTCATATCTTCTGTTTCCAATAGGCCATGAATGTAAATAGTAATTACCGACATCTTGGTTGGCCTAGCTAATTTACAGCTTTCTTTTTTCAACATTAAAAAAAAAAAAAAAAAGAAATAATCCAATTCCTATTTAGGCTCTTGAGATGCTGAAATAGGGCAAAGGCCTATAAACACGGATCTAATAGCTGAGAGGGATTTGGTGAATGAAATTTTCATGAAAAGAGAGTTATGGAGGAGTTATGAAGAAAAAGTGTCTTTTCAGACATTCAGTCTCATACTGGAACAAAATACCACTGACAATAATTCCTTGAGAAATTTTTTTTTTCTAAGTAGATCTATATAAACCAGGCTGAGTTTTTAAGAGGGGAAATGAGTTTAATAATACAGTATTAGATTGAGTATCATCCAGGAAAAGTATACTGTAAAAAATGTTTTGAGTATTAATTGACCTCTGGTAAATTTAGTGTTGTAAATACTTGTATTATAGTGAGGTAGACAGTTTAAAAAAACAAAAAAAAACTCTCCATTAGACAGACTTAAATTTTTGTAATAATATTTAAGAAAATGATAACATTAAGAAAGAATGAAATATCTGATTAATGCTTAACTTTGTACAACTCGAATATAAACTTTAAAAATATTAGAAATTATAACATTTGAGTGCATATAATGTTTTGTACATTAAGATGAATTGCATGCTGTCCGTTTCCTCTTTGCACTTTCAGTCACCTTAAATAAACAAATATATACAGCCTTTAACAGAACAACAGTGCATCCAAAGCAAATGTGCATTTTAAATTATTTCTCCTGGCCAAGTCTTTTTTTTTTTAAACTCAGCATTTTATATTAGCATTTTATTATTCTCACCCTTTCTATTACATATTGTAATCCTCTGAACCAAACAAGCAACAGGTTTAGATCAAGAGAGAGCAAAACCATTTTGGAAAAACAAAACTTTTTTGTAATGACTGGTACAAATTCCCTTGTTTAAACCATTTTATGGTCAAAGATGAAGAGGAAGTGAACTTTTCAAAGGGCCTACTTATGGGTAATATTTGAAAATAATACTGGTGCAGGCTGAGGGGAAGTTCATGTTTTTGACAATCTGGGAGTGGGTATTTCAATTGCTCTGTGCTCTCTCCTGCTTCCTTCCTGAAAATGAATTCCACCCCTGCCTCCTCCCTCACTGCCAGGGCTCCATCTCCCACCCCAAGCTCAATGTAACACTTTGCTCTTTTCACAGTTTCTCATTACAAAGTTTTAAAAACATTGCCTAACTGGTAATTACAATCTGAAACAATTCTTTGGGGGAGCCCTGGGCTATTGCTGGCTGGTAATCTTTCAGGAATGTCAGAGAGAGAGGAAGAAACACAGATTTTAAAGAAACTTGGGAGACAGGGACTTGCATCCCCTTTCATCCTTCTCTTCTCTGCTCCTGGCCTTTCCCTTCTCCCCATCCTCCTGTGGGGCCTGACCCTTCTATTTCTGGGGGCATTTTCCCTCTGCACCTCTTACCTTAGCTATGTAGTTCCTCACCCCTACCCTTTCCTGTTGTTGTTGTTGTTGTTTGTTTGTTTAACTGGGAAATTGTCTTCCTCATAAAAGCAAATGTCTGAATTTTGGCAAATTCTGTTTGAAGAAATCAATTAGGAACTGACATCAGGAGGGGCTTTTCCTAGGTTACCTCCTGCCAGGGCTAATGCACCTTAGTGTCAGGCGTCAGAGGCAGGCCTTGTGGTTTCTCATTATCCTCAGGGGGTTCCATTTGGATTCATTCCTGTCATTCCATCCATACCAGCTCCCCTTTCCCCCACCAGAAAAAGCAACTATAAAGGCAGTGTGACCTGAGCCCCCTAGAGTGAGATGCTGGTTGCCAGTTCCCTATCTTGGGAGAGACCAGAGCAGAGCTGGGTATACAAGGGAAAAAGACCCACTTGGGCCCAGCCCACCTCTCTCTATTATCTTGAAAAGTTAAGGGCTTTCTTGGCTTTCCTTTTCAGGTTCCAATTCCTCTATTTGAACACTTTCTGCTTGGTCACAAGGATTAGCTGTGACATGACCATAAAGACCCACCTTCTTTACCCAGGTAGAAAACATTCAAACCAAGATGTGGTCAAAAGTGATCCTTCCTACCACACTGTTTCTCTTTTTAAACTATTATTATTTTCAATCCACAAAGCAGTTGAGAAACAGGTATGTGTCTCCCCTCCCCCACCTCCTACCAAAACCTAAGAGACACACAAGTAAATCCAAAGCCACAATAATAAAGGTAAAAACTAAAGAAATCCTCCTTGGCTTGTTTTCCCAGGGTGGCCAGGCAAGGTGTGAAAATCCGTATCTCCCTCTGGGCTGGCAGATGAAAGGTTCTGGGAAGGCTGAGCTCCCTCCTCTCCCATCCGGCTGCTTGTCCAGGCTGTTCCCCCACCCTCTGCCTCCAAGGCCAGCTCCTCTTCTGACTCGCTGCAGTCAGGCCTCCCCTGCGGTCACGGGCCACGGCGGCAGGAAAGGCGCCGCTACCTGCAGCCGCATGACTCCACCACCATGTCTTCGTACTGCTTGTAGACCACGTTATTGCCCGCGTCGATGTACAGGATGCTGATGGGAGTCAATTTGGTGGGCACGCAGCAACTGGGCGGGGTGGAGCCGGGGTCCATGGAGTTCATCAGCGTCTGGATAATAGCGTGGTTGGTGGGCTCCAGGTGCGAGCGCAGCGGGAAGTCGCACACGCCTTCGCAGTGGTAGGCCTCGTACTCCAGGGGTGCGATAATCCAGTCGTCCCACCCCAGCTCTTTGAAGTTGACGTGGAGGGGCTTCTTGCTGCAGCGCAGCCTCGACTTCTTGCCGTGCCGCTTGCCGTGGCGGCTGGCGAAGGCCGTGCGCCGCCGCCGGCGGCCGGGTGAGGGCAGCCAAGGCCCGGCGTCCGGGGCGCCCGACGGCGGCGGCCACGACCCTTCGGCGCCCGCTCCGGGGCCAGCTGCCTCGGCCGAGTCCAGCTGCTCGCGCATTTCGGCGAACAGGTTCTTGCGCTGGGATCTCGTGAACACGACTAGCAGGGCACGTTCCTGGGGGGGCCGCGTTCTCCGGCCGAAGCCCAGACTCCGCAGGTCCGGGGGCGGCTGCTGGGACCCTGGCGCGCGCGCCTCGGCCTCTCCAGCGTCTGGCTCGTCCCACGAGACCCGCAGCTCCAAGCACAGCTGCTTCCAGGGCTGGTGGCGCAGGCCCTGCCACACGTCGAAGACTTCCCAGCCGGCCTGGGGCGCCCCCTGCGGGTCCAGGGTCCGCGCGTCCAGCAGCAGGGGCGACAGGCAGGGGAAAAGCTGCACATGGAGCGGCCCGGCGGGCGGCCCCCAGGGCGATGCGGGCGCCTGGCGAAAGAGCCGCAGCTCCGCGCCCACCAGCTCTTCTTTGTCTGAGAGCGTGGACACATCAAACAAATACTTCTGTCTCCGGAGAGCAGTGTGCGAGAGATCGTCTGCGAGATAAAAAATAATTACAGTCAGTTTCACTTAAGGAGGAGATCAGCCCGGTGCTCTGCGGCTGCCCCCGGGAGGAAAGGGCGGGGAGCAGGGCAGGCAGGCCGGGAGTCCAGTTTGGCCAGCCCCAGGCCTGACCACCCTGGCTAAGGCAGGAGCACCAGGCAGGCCCCCTCCTCCCGGTCAACCCGGGACTCCCAGGGCGGAAGTCGGTGGCTGCTGGAGTAGCTGACGCAGCGGCCTCCCGCGTTTTCCCCCGGGAGCTTGCAAGTAACCACTAATGTGCCCTTTGTGGTTGCGAACTTGGGCCGCACTTCCCCCAGATTTCCTCGGAGCTGGCTTGTTGTCATCATTCACGTCTCAGTTAAATGTCACCTCCCAGACCCCCTCCTCCAGCCCATGGGAGCTAGTACCATGTCAAGTCCAGCACTTAGAACCGTGCCTGACCTAGTAGTGCACATGCAGGGCAATAAGTGAGAAACTTCTAGAATAGCCATTCTCAATCTGCCTGCCGTTATAATCATCTAAAGAACCTAAAAATTACCAGCTGCCTGGGCTTGCTTCAGGCAAGTGAATCAGTATCTGCGGACAGGGACCTGGGTATAGGGGTTTTGCTGGAGGGGGAATGCATTTTTTTTTAAAGCTCCGAGATGATTTAAAGATGCAGTCCTAGTTTAGACCCACTGGTGGTCTAGTGGGGAAGCTGCTGCCCATCAGGCAGTTCTGCTGAAGCATTTGACCCAACACAAAGCAGATAGAATAAAGAGTTACATGATTTCTTTTTCTCTTTTAAATCCACCATTTGAAAACAAACAAAAGAGGAATGAGGTTTTCAGAAGTCTTTTTTCATTTTCTGGGGTAGGGGTGGGGATGGGGATGGGGGACAAACGAAGAAACCCACGCACTAGGCATCTATCCTGAATCCAATAAGAAATAGACACTTCTGGAAGGAAAAAAATCTCAGTCACAAACACACATGCACAGTGACATTCTCCCCTCCTCCACCCACACAACCTGAAATCTTCATGCTTTTCAACTAATCCTGAAGATAAATCTTTTGGTTGCAGGTGAGAAATAAAAATGTAGGGCATGTGGAGAGTGGGGGGAGTAATGGGCTTTTAAAATCCAAAGCGAATTATTTGGGATGAAGACAAAACTGGACTTCTTTTTTTGACACATTTGTCTATAAAGCCAACCCCACTTCAATGTGCAAGGCAGAAAGCTAACCAGATTTTTCTGGGCTGCCTTCTCATAAAATATTTACAACCCAGCAAATACAAAAATCCCCAAAGCCCCCAGCTTTCCCCAGAAGCCAGTAAAGTTTGGGTCAATTTCAATAGTAAAAGTGTCACTGGTTCCCAGGTCCGACCCTCACTGCCAGTCCAGATGTAGCCCCAGCGCACTAGATCTGGAGCCTGAGCCACACCCAGTCCCCACTCAGCTGACCGGCTGACCGCAGGGCTGGCTGCCTGGCTCTGACACACAAGTCCCAACCTGAGAGGGAGCTGTGGGGAGGGTTAGAGAGGTGAAAAGGGAAAAGCTGCTGGAGGCAGTTGATTTATAGAAGCCAAGACCTTCAAACCTACCAGGGTTACATTAAAATCAGTGGGAATTCAACGCACTTTCTTCTCCTCCTTTAGAGAAACCTATGCCTGACAATACTCAGCCACCACCCAGATTTCTGGACCTATGGCCTTAGGCTTCACTTTCCTGCCTCTCATATTTCTCCCCAAACCAAGGATGTAGTGAGAGGGACAAACCTATGGCACTTTCTGCAGCAGCTAAATGTTGCGAGGGCTGACATTTTTTTCATCCTTATTTTATCCACAGCACAGAACAGTCCTGTAAAGTAGGTACCCCTATTGCTCCCATTTTACAGATGGGAAACTCAGGGCTTGGATAAATTAATTACCAAAGTCTGAGAGCTAGTACAAGTGGTGAGGTTGAAATCCAAGCCTAGGTCTATTTAATTCCCAAGTAGAAACATTTAGCCCCTAAGCCCAATTAACCAATTGCCTCCCCCATTGTAGTCCAGGTACAAGAATCTAAAAGCAACCAATAGTTGCCAGGGCATAAGGGATGTAATATAATCCAAACTGTATTTTCAGAGCTTGCTAAGATAAAACCTATGTCTGCTTACATCAGTGGTTTTCAACCTGTAGGTCATAAGCCCTTTGGGGGTCGAACGACCCTTTCACAGGGGTCGCCTAAGACCATTAGAAACACATATTTCCAATGACGATTCATAACAGTAGCAAAATGACAGTTATGAAGTAGCAACAAAAATAATTTTATGGTTGGGGATTACCACAACATGAGGTGCAGAATAGCCATTGATTAGTCCACATGGAGAGATCAGCCTGCTTGTGTTTGCATTCTTTTTTTTTTTTCTTTTTTAAGTGTGGACTAATCAATGGCTATTCTGCACAGCTAAGTCACATTTCTCTAGTCCTCAGGAGTGGTCAGAACAGAGGAAAGTATCTGTAGAGAAAGGGCTATATTGATTCTGCAGCCTTGGGCACTCACTCTTTCCAGGGCTTGGGAAAGGGTGTAAATGAGAGCTTCAGCCTGTATCCTGCTCCTTCCCCTCCCATACCAGTTCTATTCCAGGGTTTGATGGGCATCACCAGCATGCGAGTGGACACCTTCACCCAGAGGTCCAAGCTCCCAGGCTACAGGTGCACACACCGGAGCTGTGATACACTGTTATGAGGATCACAGGTCTGATAGGGAAGCTCACAAGGCCCTGCAGATAGATTCAGGGCTCTTTGGGCAAGAACTCTGTGGCTTGAGTACCACAGTAGAATAGTAGTTGTCAAAACCACTAAATCAAAAATAAATAAATAAGAACACCACTAAATCTGTTGTCTGCTGAAGACCCTCCACCTACATCTTCGGTTATCACACGGGATGTTAAAAATGTAAATTCTCTTGGATCCCAGAGGTTTGTGGTAGGGCCCAGAATTTGAATTTTTAGTAAGTTCCCAGATGATGCTGATTCTGCTGGTTGGGATCCCACATTAGAACAACTAATCTAGAGGAATATGTTCCTTGGCTCTTCAGAGTCACCACCATTTAGGAAGGGTACCATTGGAAATGGATAAAATAGGGCTCTCCAAAGCACGGGGCCCAGGGCAGCATTGGAGGTGGTACTCCAGAACCAAATCACCTTCTTGTCCAGCTCCTTCCTGCCTACCCCTGACCCTGCACCAGCCACCCTCAATTTCTTTTTACTCTTTCAGCCACACATTCTCTCACTGGGTCTCCAGAAGCTCTAACTCCTAAACAGAGGGTCCAAGAAGGTGGCTGCTCTGTGCATCTCCCCTGCAGACCGCATTCCCCACCTGTCTGGACCTGCACTAGAGCCATGCATCACAGAAACAGCCTAGAGCAAGCATCTGACCTGGGGGGTGCACACACCACTGCCCATCTGCTGCTGTGACCCTGCAGATACTTTGCCTACTGACCGGTGACTGGTCATCACAAGGCCCGGCTTTGCTGCCATGGCCACCTATGGGTAGGAAGCTGGCTCTTCACACTCTTTTTCACAAAGCCTCCTTTCCCATCAAGCTCTATATAAATGAGGGCTGATGTTATCAAATGACCCTCTCACCCATGCCCTTGACAAGAAACATTGCACTTTTCATTTCAAAATCTGTCTGTGGCACTTTCTCACATCTTGAAAGTGAAGCATTTGCTTTAGGCCTTTAAATAAAATTGATCAGTAATACATCATGGGATTTTTTGTTTAAATTTTTGCTTTTAATTTGCATCAACCTGGTTTGTTACAGCTTGGCTCAGACCCCAGTTAACTAGGTGTTTGTTGAGTATTAGACACGTAGACCTTTCAAGTTACAGTTGCTGGACTTGTGCTTATCAACTTTCCCTGGTGGGTGGTAGAGGAAGACAGGGTGAGGAGAGGAGAAGGAACAAACCACCTGCATATTTGAAGAAAATTCTTGGTAAATACGTCAGCCTTTTAGAGTTAAGAGCAAGTTGGTAAAAGACAGAGAACACTTCGAACATGCATATCTGGGGTGCAATTTATAGAAAATAAAAAAGGAAAGCAAATAAGTAAACAGAAAAGGAAGAACTGATCACTTGCAAGGTAGGGACAATCACACTCATTTTAAGTGAAGAAACTGGCTAAGACGGTAAAGGCATCTGTGCAGGGTCACAGTACTTGGCTGAGAGAAACTAGAGAAGCAAACCAACACTAGATAGAAAAGGAAAGGATGCCCAAGGCGCCGAAGACCAGACCCCTGGGAATCTGAGCCCCTGGATGTGGCCTGAGGGACACAGGGGCGGGAGACGTGCCTCACTCGCCCGCCCACCCGGGCTCCTCCTGCTGCCGGAGGCTCCCCTGGACCACCCTGTAGAGGGTTTCCGAAAACCTGCCACTTATTTTGGTTTCGGGCAGAAAGGGCCCGCACTGCATTTTTTCCAAGACATCTCTGAGAGAAGTATACAGCCTGAGGTCCCTTTGAGAGTCCTAGTTAGATTTTCTTTCACTGGCGCCCCGAGGGTGTGCCTTCGGCTCCAGCTCTCCCGACCAAGACGCTGCTCCCCCAACCCTCCTCCCCAGAAGTCCTGCTGACGGTGACCCTGACCGCTTCTGCCCAGGTGTCTGATCTGCCCCCACCCGCCTTCTCCAGCCACCGGGCCAGGCCTGTGCACTCCGAACGCGCAGACCCTGCTTTCCCACCCCAACTCCTCTAAGTGAAGGAGGAGAGGGATAATTACCATCTTTATAACTCCTGGAGTCTTCGCAGCTAAGCCTCTCCCTCACCCCTCATTGTGAGCCAGCAAGCAGCAGTGAAGTTTATGGGGCATCACCTTCGTGCTAGGCACGTGCTAAGGGCTTTGGTGGCATCTGTCCCTGAATCCTCACCTGGAGTGTCTGAGGTCCATGCTATAGCTGTACTCATTTATAGATGAGGAAACTGGGGCTCCAGGAGGTGTCTTCACTTGTCCACTATGTTGCAGCTAGAAAGGGATG